AAAATACGTCCCCGAGAGGTACACACATAAACAGCAAAGTTTCAGAATATGGAGCAGTCTTCCTGGAGAAGGACCCACGTCTAAATTTTCAAAAATATCGCTCCTTGCAACTCCAGGAGGTGCACACAGAAAAGTTTCAAACTATATCTGGAAGGACAACACTCTATCTGCTGATGAATCCATGGTGGTATCAGATACATCTGATGGGGATCAGGATTCCCAGAAGAGCCTACTGGAAGGGGCTAATTAGATTGGTTTCCTCCCAACCTGCATCATCCAACATCACAGCAATCAAAAGAAGACGTCCTCCTGCTCAAGCAAGTGACAACTGTAAGACTATGTCACGTATTGCCTTGTGGTGTTACCTATGTGTGACCATGAAGAAGTGGCATAAAAAAACCACTCCTGCACTTCAAGCACCAGTAAAAGAATTACAAGATGCATCAACCACCAAGGAGAACTTCTCCAAAAAGGTGATTGCTCCAGTTGCTTTGGGACAAGAAAATAGCTGTAAGAACATCAGAGGTAACAAATAGAGGGGACCTGCCCCCAGCCAGGGGGGAAAGGTACAATAGAGTGTATTGGACTGTGTGGCCTGGCACGGCAGAACCACAGAAATATAAGGCACTGGTGGACACTGGTGCACTGTGCAATCTAATGCCCTCTAGTCACCAAGGGACAAAATCAATTCATATTTCTGGGGTGACTGCAGGTTCCCAAGAGCTGACTGGGTTGGAAACAGAAATAAGCCTCACTGGAAAAGACTGGCAAAAGCACCCTATTGTGACTGGCCCAGGGGCTCCCAGTATACTTGGTACTGATTACCTCAGAAGGGGATATTTTAAGGATCCCAAGGTGTATCGATGGGCCTTTGGAATAGCTGCTGTAGACACAGACAATATTAAGCAGCTGTCTGTTCTGCCTGGCCTATTGGAAGATCCATCTTTTGTGACGTTGCTAAGAGTAAAACAGCAACAGGTACCAATTGGATTGTATTGTATTCCACATCATAACATCATGTAAGTGCACTGGGAGTTAAAGAGTTAATGCTTCAGGTCTGAGTACCTGTCCCAGAAGAGAACTACTACATTCCCCAGAGGACTGTTTGCTGTTCTGTTATCATTTCTAATGAGGGGGAACAGATAAAGGCCTTCATAGGTTACCTGTCGTATCTTTCGATCGTCTGGCTCATCTCTGTTGCGGGTGCCATCTCGCCTATGCATTTGAATTAGGCCTTCAGCTTTTGGACACTCTTTCTCATTATATTTGATTTATTAGCTCCATTTCTATTTGTATTGTGTTATATTGGATTATAGTGTGTTATCTTTCATTTTGATATCTTATTTTGTAAATTTGTTTGTTTCTCCTTGGATTGTTGCCGCTGTTTTGTTTTGGGGGTCCATCTATCTACCCTTTTTCCCTTTATCCCGTTTCCCCTTTCCAGAGGCACAGATCTGAGGGTCCCTCTTTCCTGCTAATTACAGAACCGGGCTAAATCAGCCTATAAACCTTTGACATCAGTACACTCAGTTGTGCCTTGCAACCCCCTCCCAATTGGAGGCAGGGCCCTTCTAATTATCAGTAGGCACAGGAACGGTCTTGTGACTCTTTTATCTGGACCCATGGGACCGAGGTAGGTTTTCCATCCCACCTCTCCATATCCTCACCATAATCACATAGGTAAAACCATAAGGTATTACAAGATGCAAATCCACTACTATTTCCTGCTTCATTAGGAGGGATTCTACTCTTAACAACTAAAACATTGGCTAATACCTGCGGGCAGTTAAGTGCATTTTTTAATTCTAGGACATCTGTGGACAAACTTTTCATAGTTGCTATAACATCCTGTAAGTTTGAGGCCATATTTGCCATATTGTCTTGATGGTCCCAACCTGAGGTCATTCACCCACTTTCTATTTCTTTGTTCTTAGTATACTGGCAAACATTACTGGTGCAGCTTGTGTCAATTTTCTCCACATAATTAGTGAACACCATACGTTGTTGGGGTCATGAAAGTCATGCAAGTCATTAGGATCGAAATTGTCATTGTACAGCATCTCCACTACAGCCAGTTCTATTAAGTACTGATACCTGCTTCCTCGTTAGTCTAGTTGTTTATCTTGGGTACCATATCATCATCTTCACATCTTTCCATCAGTTTTCTCTTAGTGGGTCTCTTTACCAAATCTAGTTGAAGGCCCCTCCCCTGCATCTTCTTCCTCTTTTTTTTCCCCTTCTTCTGTCTGTTCTAAGCGAGATGTCATTCATCGCCATTTCTTTCCTTCTATGGGAGCAACTGATACTGATATGGGTTTTCTTTCTGACTGAGTAGTCTCAGCTCCAGGAATATCTTCTTCCTCACTCTCCTATTGTATTGTGTTAAACAGAGCTTGGTAGGCATTTGCCAAACCCCAAATAATTTGTGCCTCCCTAAATTTGCCGGAACTGCATCCTTCCTCCCTCAAGTACCTGCCTAAACTTTCAGGGTTCTGCAGGTTTTCAGAAGTAATGCTCCATGACACCAAGGGTGCCTACTCCTTTAAACTCTCTCTCAAATTCTCCCACATCCCCTGCCATTCAGTACACTTTGTTTTTTCCAGCCTTGGGGTTCAGGTTCCCTCTGATTCTGGTAGGTACAAAGGGAGAATAAGGTGTTAAAAACAATGCCAATCACATTCAGGGAACCTGATGATGTGGTTATTGTCCAGGCAGTCCAAAAATGGGGAGAGAGGAAATGGAAAATGACATTTATGATGTTCAGTATTTTCCATCCCGGAGGACTGCTACAACTCCCCTACATCCAGGTACCACACAGACTCACTTTTAGTGAGCCTAACTTTTAGTGAGCCTAATTTTTTGAACATGCATTGCAGTGGAAATGCTAAGTCAGAGCTTGAAGCAGTGATGGAGCACCTGGTGAGAAGGCAGAGCCAACCCAGGGGTGCTCAGGTGCATGCAATGCACCTGAATGACTGGAAGGGATGGAGCCAGGATCCACACCTTCCCAGACCTCATTTAAGGGTTGGCAGTGGAAGTAAGGCTATTTTGCTGGAGATTGCTGCATTCCTGAGGCTTTTCAAGAGTAAGTGCAGTGTATGAGGTACATTCTGTTATGTAAGCAATCCAAATTGTTTATTGGAGGTTCTAACATTCCTTATATATATATATTCCAAAGCTTTCTTTTGTAACTTTCCCACCGCCCTTTACATGTCAACAAAACGTTCCACACACGCTCCTTAACTGTGCATGCAGGCACTTATCCAATCAGACTCATGAGTCCTTCCTAGCCATGCACCCTTCCTCCAATCAGGGTCATTATCATGCAGCTGATTTGGCTTTTGTTTTTCTCTCCTGGAGCCTTCCTTGATTCTCAGCCTTGCTTTCTCATGCAGTCTATCTTGCTCCACAGCTTCTGCTCTGAATGTTCTTTCTTACTTCAGGTAAGTAGCTTTTTTCCTTTGTTTCTGCATCCGTGGCTGGTGCACTTGGGCTTATCCTGACATGCTGCAGCCTAGGGCTTTGTCAGCCTGCTATTATTGTGCTTTCCACTGCGTTATAGCGTTATGTGCATGCAAACCCAACAAGTATTTTGACTATCTTAAAAAGGAACCAATAGGTTTTAAGAACCACAATCTGGAGTACAGTTGTGTGAAGCCCCTTAAAGAACATTTTTAAACAGAAAATAATTTATTGTCTTTTAGGTGGAAAACAGCAAGCTGGTAGGATGCCAAAAACTTCTTGAAATATTGGCTCAGTGGCAAAAATTTCTCAAAAATTAGCACTGGGCCAAAAATTTTAATAAAAGTTCTAATACGCTACTGGCAGATCTCTTATCTAAATCAATTGTTGCGCCCCACGTTGGGCACCACTATCTGTCATGATTTCAAGCATGACAGGGCAAGGAGGGCAAGGGAGCCCCTTTCTCCTCTTTTGGAGAGAAGGAAAGTAAAATGACCCAATTAAGATAAGGACAGATAACAAATTTACTGTAAATGGTAAAAGAATGTAAGATAATAATAAGAAAGAGAGTTATAATTAATAACTCAAATGGGAGAGAAAGTGGTTCTCACAGTAAGAAGTTGTCACTCTTGTCAGTATTGTAACAGTAACAGAAACGTGTTTAAAAAACAATACAAAAAACCAGCTTGTATCTGCTGCTTGGCCAAATACGGCTTCACATTTACCACCTTCTCTGCTGCCATGAACTGCCAGGCTCTCAAAGTTGAACCTGGGGCAGGATCCATCCCTTGGGAGGAAGCCCTCATCTCTGACCTTCCTCTCAGCACTTGCACACAGCAGCAGCACTTTCTCATAGGCACAGTAACACGGTGATACTTCAGATTCACTCCCTCCTTACCTAAATTCACTGCTGCTGCTGCTGAGACCAAGGACAGAGTGTGATGATGGAGGGCACCAGAGGCAGACAGCAGCAGCTCATGGAAGGAGGCAATGTACTCTGCCTTTGCCCCAGGCCCTCAGCCAGACCCCTTCCCTCACCCTTGCCCTGTTACACAGCACCCCCTTCCCACTGAGCTTTACTCTGGTTGCTGCAGGATGAGGTAGAAAAGGACAAGCTGTACAAGCAAAACTGTTCCTTGAGCCTTTGAAAAGCAGACAAACACGTGATATGCTCATATCTTTTATTAGGTAAGAGGAAGGGCTAAAAAGAAATGAAACTCCTAAAACATTCACTGCACTGGTACATACCAAAAGTACCAGGAGTTGCTTCTCTGGTCTTTGTTTTAAAAAAGGGGGAAGAACAGGTGAAGTTTTCATCCAGCCACTCTGTCAATCCTGGGCAGGGTGGCTTAGGCCAAAAAGAAGTACAAGAAATAGCTTATAGTTTTAAGACAGTGCCACATAGTTTTTGCCTTTGATGATGCAAAGGAGGGTCCAGGACCCAATGAGCCATCCAAAGTCTCTTGCTTGAGAAACAAAACCAAAAGCAAAAGTTTTTTTTTAATTATTTATTTAAAAATTAAAAAATAAAGAGGTGACCTAACTGCCCCTGAGTTCATCTTCCACAGCAAAATAACAGCTATACTGGGGGGTGGGGGCAGAAATCAAACAAACAGGATACATCTTGATTCTCTTTTAGAAGCCAGAACTCCATATTTGCTTGAATTTAGAATTGCACTAAATAAATAGCTCCAATAAAAATGGCACAGTTATAAAGCCCATAAAGCTTGAAAAACAAGGAAGGAGGCCCTGGTGTATACAGGAAGTGAATAATTAGTCTTCCTACAAAGAAAATAAAACAGGCTCCAAGATGCAGAAAACCACATTTAGGCTCTGTTACATTTACAAATACATAGATAAATATATTACATACAACAGCAACTCAAAGAGGAAGCAGGCAAGTCACACAGAGGATGGCTGGCTGGCTACAGTTCTCCCCACACAGATGGTTGGCTGACCAGTTACTTCTACTAATTTCAGGAATCGGCTTGGGCTTCAGCTTTTTTTTTTTTCTTTTTTTTTCTTTTATCCTTTCAGATTCAGTTAGTCCAGTATGGAGAAGTGCCATAGGCAGTTTTGGTAGCCTGAGACTTTTGCTGCATGGTGCTGGGCTGGTTGCGCTGGCTGGATCCACCCTAGCAAACCAAAAGAAAGAAGGCATCAGCATCAACTGCCACCACACTGCAGGACCCATAGAACCTACAGGCCTTCAGGAAGACAAGCTCATCAGTACAGCACCAGGAGAGCTGCCGCTCCCCAGCATCCACTAATACAGCTCATCAGATCCAGATCTGACATCTTATGAGCCAGTGGCCAACAAAGACATCAAGCAGGAACACAGGGATACACCCACCCAGCCCCATTCCCAGCCAAGTGTCACCACTCTGGATGCTGTCACTCTTTCACTGCAGAAGGACACAGCTGGAATGATAACACTGGGAGATGCCAGAGTTGAGTTGTTAAATCCCCCCCCCCAAAAAAAAACACACTAAAAAATGCTTAATCTCCCTTAAGGTCAGCTTCTCTGTGTTGTAAAACAGCATCAGACCACAAGAAGGAAAACAGTAGAGCTGCAGGAAGGAAAGGAGCACTCTCAGTGTGAACAGAGACAGTGCACCAGTCAAGTATATAGAAGAGAGAACAGTCATTTTCTATTTCTGGACTCCAAAGCATAACATTTTTTTTCTCCTTTCAGTGAACATTTTATAGTGAGGAAAGGAAACACATTTGTTGGTGAAATCAAATCAGAAATGGGAGCTGACATGCAATCTTTGCAAGGGGTTGCTTGTTTTTTTCCCCCCAATCACAGTGCTCATGTCCAGGGATCAGCAGCACCTGTCTCAGCTTCACATCCCCTGCACCCTACATTACAATAGCCTCTTCCAAGCAGGACCTGCCCCACAGCCCTCCCCTAGCTGGTAAACAGCATCTAGTCTGCAATCCTGCCAAGGCACTTGAACATAGAAAAAAAAATTGAAAAAAAACACCACACACAAACCAAAAATCCCACTCTAGGAGGTAGGTAGGAACAATCTCACTTTGTGAAGGCAGCAAGGGCTGACTCACCTGCCCATCTTGCTGAAGATGATGATGCAGCATCTGTGAATGAGGCTGCTGATGTGCAGGCAGGATATGGAGAAAAGGAGCTGGAGCATAACCTGGGGCAGCACCAGGGTTCAGGGGCCCAGTAGATCCAAGAGCAGAGGGCATGCTGAAAGGAGGTGGTGTGCCAGCATGGAATCCCTGCTTATCAAACGTCTGCGCAGGAAGTAATGGGGAACATCAAAGACCAGTGGGAACAGCCCCACAGCAACCAAACAAGAATGACCTGAACACAGATTCCTGTACCTTTTGTCAATCCCATGAACAAGTCAGACTGAACATCCGTGAGCAATTTAGTAGATGAGTGAGTTTCAACTCATTTTCATCCTTATTTCTGCTCTAATGACCATAACTTTTAAAATTGTTTTATTTCATTGACTACTGTGTTCCTTTTTTTCCCTGACCTCTTTTTACTGCAGCTGCTTGAAATCCATCCTTCACACCTTGTGGGGGCTCAAGCTAAATTACTTGACCTCAGAGCAGCTCAACAAAAAGACAAGAAGAAATTGCACTAAGGTTTTCTTTCCCCAGGCCAAAGCTAATGCTATGCATGTAACTGAGAGCTGGTGTCCTACCCATGGACACAGATCACAGAGACACACAATGAGTCTGACTGCCCTGACAGAAGATTCAAGGATAAAGAAAGATGGATGTAACCCCACTGTACAACACAGCTTGAAGCAGAGGGGTACTGGTACCCAGCAGAGAGATCCTCAGGTATAGCAGTGGGTGCTACTGACCAGTCTAGCTGGAGAAAAGCAAACATCATCTTAACTCATCTGCTTTGAGGGCTACTTTCTAAAAACACTGGTGCTGTCACATTTTATTTGTGCTCAGGGCACAGCATACACGAAGCAGCATGTGACAGTGCAGGGAGCTCTGCATCTGTGACAGCAGCTTTGGCCAGGAACTGATGAGGCAAAAGTAGCAGGATGGGGAACAAGACTCCTCTCTAGCAGCAAGCAGAGCCAGTATAAGAAAAGCTCAAATCTGCTGACCCCATGACCAACTGGCTTAGGAACTGCCCCCAACTGCCACAGATCCATCAGAGTGCCATCACACCCATAAGCAAGGAGCCATCAGCCTGGTCTCAGACCAACAGGGAAGAGGATCCAGCAATTCTCACCTGAGTCTTGTTATAGACAGAGCCACTGATATCAGGCACACTTGTGTTACTTGAAGTTACAGAAACACCTGGAAAACAAGAAGCCACTGACAATGAAAAAGCCAAGCAGCACCCAACTGGAACTCTACACTTAGCTTTGGTCCTGGTACCTCAGTGAAGGCACCTGGACCCACAGCCACTGCCCCACATGCCCTTAGGCCTGCTCTGTGCTCTCAGACCTACAGCACTCCATACGGGAGCAGGAAGAAGGGCTCAGTTCCTTGCTCATGCTATAATGCAGGATATCAGCCCACTGGGATAAGTTATCCATGTCCGCTACACACATATAGCTGTGATTCAAATGCACTTCATTGGGCAGCAGCTGGCTGTGCTGAACACTCATTTAGCTTGCAGAAAGCCAATTTTCCCCTAGGACTAGGGATACATTTGGCTCTCATGGCATTCAAGAGCTTTCCAGTAGTCTGCTGAGCAATGAGCCTCAGCATGTGCCACAAGCTTGTGTCCCTGTCCTTTCACATCCATGCCCAAGGATGAGATCTGCTCCACTGCCCCTGCAGAATTAATATCACTAAGGCTGGCTTCCACCTGGGTCAGTTGGTGCCACAAAAGGCTCAGAAACACTCACTTACCAGCAAGGTGACTCAAACTGTTGTCATGGTTTTATGATTTCTGGTTGTCAGTATTCCACACCATAACATCATGTAGTACACTGGGAGTTAAAGAGTTAATGCTCCAGGTCCAGGTACCTGTCCTGGAAGAGAACTACATCCCCCAGAGGACTGTTTGCTGTTCTGTTATCATTTCCGCTCAGTGGGAAAAGATAAAAGGCCTTTGTAGGTCACCTGATGGCCCCTATTTTCGATCATCTGGCCATCAAGGAAGAGATGCAACATATAAGTGGGCTAGAGACCGAGGGGTGGACTTAACTATGGATGCTATTGCACAGGTTATTCATGACTGTGACACATGCGCCACGATTAAACAAGCCAAGAGGATGAAACCTCTCTGGGAGGAAGGGCGATGGCAAAAGTATCGTGATTATATCACCTTGCCACGATCCCACAGTGGTAAGTGTTATGTGCTTACCATGGTGGAGGCAACCACTGGGAGGCTTGAAACATATACAGTACCCCATGCTACCACCCGAAACACCATATTGGGTCTGGAGAAACAAGTCGTATGGCAACATGGCACACCAGAAAGAATTGAGTCAGATAATGGGATTCATTTCAAAAGTTCTCTTGTAAATACTTGGGCCAAAGATCATGGCATTGAGTGGATTTATCATATCCCCTATTATGTACCAGCTTCTAGAAAAATCTAACAACACAATGGGTTGTTAAAAACCATGTTAAAAGCAAAGGGTGGCAGATCATTTAAGCATTGTGAGAAGCATTTGGCAGAAGCCACCTGGTTGGTCAACACTCAAGGATCTATCAATCACAATGGTCCTGCCAGCTTTCTACATACTGTCAAGGGAGATAAGGTCCCTGTAGTACATGTAAAGAACATGTTGGGAAAAGCAGTTTGGGTCTTCCCAGCTTCTGGAAAGGGAAAACCTCTTCGTGGAACTGTTTTACTGTTTTTGCTGAGGGACCTGGGTCCTATTGGTGGGTGATGCAGAAAGATGGGGATGTTCAATGTGTACCACAAGGGAATTTGATGTTGGGGGAGTGCAGTCAGTAATTCCATGTATATATATTTATGTGTGTGTGAGTATATTTAATGCTTGTTAATTATTGCTTTTTGTTTGCATATATTGAGTATGATGTAGTGATGTGGAATGTCATGGTTTTATGATGTTTAGTTGTTGGTATTCCACACCATAACATCATGTAGTGCACTGGGAGTTAAAGAGTTAATGCTCCAAGTCTGGGTACCTGTCCCAGAAGAGAACAACTACTGCATTCCCCAGAGGACTGTTTGCTGTTCTGTTATTATTTCGGCTTAGGGGGATAAGATCAAAGGCCTTCGTAGGTCACCTGACAGCCCCTCTTTTTGATCATCTGGTTTGTCTCTGTTGTGGGTACCTAAGGCCTTTGGCTTTCGGACACTCTCTCATTTTATTTGATTTATGAGTTTAAATTCTTATTATATTGTGTTATATTGTATTATAGTGCGTTACCTTGCATTCCGATATCTTATTTAGTAGATTAGTTTGTTTCTCCTCAGATCATTGCTGCTGTTTTGTTTTTAGGCCCATCTCTCTACCCTTTTTGGTTTTTTTTTTTCCCTTTTCACTTTCTGGGGTGTAGATCTGTGGATCCTCCCACCTCACCATTCACAGAACAGGGCCAAACTAGCCCATAAACAGTTGACAACTGTCCACTCATTTGTGGTTTTATAAAAGTCAGATCTGATCACTTCACTTGGATCTGAATAAAAGCAGCAGTTCCTTTGGCCAGTGAATCAAAGGACTGAACTGGGGTTTGCACTGTTCTAACACTACTCTTCCTAGGATATCACTCCATTTCACAGGCCACACAGAAGAGCATGACCAGCTCTTGGTTGAAGACTTACATACTGAACACTCCAGTTGGAGTTTCAGATGCATGGCAAATGCTTGGTATTTGCTTAAGCTCAAGGATGAACTAGTTAGTGCTAAGCAGTTCAGTATACATTTCTCAGGTCTAACCAGCATGTGCAGAATAAAGCTTTCATATAAGCTACGTACATTCCTTATCCTTTACAGTTACAGAGGAAACATTTCCAGGTATGAAACAATGCAATGAGTTACAGAGCATATAGAGAACAGCTGAAACAACAGACCAGAGATGTGTGAACTGCCCTGCTCACTCTGAATACACAGCTAACTCAGATGCCTTCCAACAAACTCAAAATCCAGTCAGCAATTGGCAGAGGACCATTTCAGCAGTAGCATCCAGCATCTTAGGCTTCAATGACACTACAAGACCATTTATTCTTCACCAAAGACATCTTTGGCAGGAAAAAGAGCTCAATTTCTCCCATGTGTAACTGGAGACAAAGCTGCACATCAACCACACAAATCCTTATGTGAAGTTCAGCCATTAGATTTAGAAGGAATAACTTGGGCCATTAAAAAAAAAAAGCATTTTGTCCACAGGAGGTGGAGAAACAGCTTGGATCTGTATCCTGTTGTGAGAGGTAGACTGTGTTTTTTGCAGTGGAAATTTCCAGTATTTCTGTACGTAGCATAGGATAAGTTGTTTTTCACAAAGAAAGCTGCTGAACAGAGTAAAGTTGAGACTGGGGCATTCCGACCTGGGTAGAATTGGCACAGGCACTAGGTAAGGTAATTATATAGGGTAGGGGAGAGCCTAGCACAGGACAGAACAAATGTGCTAATTTTTGGAAACACTGTCCTCCTATCGCCATAGAAAAGCACAGAACATACCTAAAAACAATAGATTGGTAGCAGACATTGTATGGAAGTGTAATGTAGCAACAGCGTTGGAAGATTGTGAGATTGAGACACTCAACCAATGAGTGCCAGGAGAGGAATTACCTGCATTGGACCCAGGGTATATAACGGAATGGATTTTACTGACTAGTTGCACAATTTCTCCCTTGTCATGTTTATTGCAATAATGAATAAACTGCTCTTCACAGAGATCTTTGCCTGATAAGAAATTTTTGATTTTGAGCGTTTCTCTGGTTGCTGTGTTGACTGCAAAGCACTGGCAACACTGGCAGTTTGCCCTACTAAATCCCACTCAAAAGTAACCTCAAGTCTCATGTATTACCTTTCCCAGGTCCAGTGCCAGCAGATTTGCTTTGTGCTTGAGATGACCCACTGTAGCCTCCTTTGCTGTAATCTCCAGCTGCCGTTCCCTGCATTAAGTCATCATAGCCTGCTGGCGTGTACAAGACAATGTGTTACAGTGTGCAAATAGCTCTGTAGATGCTCCAGTGAACAGTGCAGTGATAAGCATACCTGCTCCATAGCCATGCTGCCCATAGCCACTTGCTTGCTGGAAAGGAGTGGAGGCAGTATTCAAATTGACTCCATGCTGTTTAGCAGATGCTGGAGGTACCTGGACAAAGGAGAAAGGGAACAAAAGGTGCTGTTAGCTGGGGAGCAGCAAACAAAAAGCAAGCTTCTTTCTGTCATCTAGTGGGGAAGGCACCTCCAGCTCACATGGGAAATGTAATTTGGGTCTGGGAGCACTGGGATCACGTGGGAGGCAGTGTTCACACTTCAAGCACTAACTTGTTTTAGCAGCTTTGTGCAAGCCACAAGTTTCCTGCTACAGCTGCCCCTGATCCTGCATATGGACTTTCTTCCCATTGCAGTGCAACTGTGTCTCAGAATAGACTGCACATTTCTCTCATACGTGCAATAAAATTGACTGCAGGCAGAAAATTCTTACCCATAAGCCAAAAAAGAACTACTACAGTGTGCTCCAGAATCAAATGAAACCAACCAGCTCCTGCCTGAGGTTGTTTCGTAAAACTTAGTCTTAAAATACTCATCTATCCTTCTGCCTTTTCCCAAGTAACTTTCTCCTTCCTGAGACTACTGGGCTGGGGTATCCTTCCTCCAAAGGATTTCCTAGGCACTCTCAGCTTGGTGATTCAGCTTTGAGTCTCCCTTTGTCTCTTCAGAGGCTGCTAAGGGTTTTCAGGAACACTACAGATCCATGAGCTGTAGCTACCTACTATTTACAGTAACCTACACCCATGACTTCTGGCCTTCCAAATTTCCTCTTTTCTTGGAGAAGGGACAGCAGTTATTTTCTCATGCTTGCACAACCTTTTTTGGGGGGGAATCTCTTGCAGGATGAGGAAGACATAGGTTTTGCTGGAGAGAAAAAAAACAGTCATCAAAGGTGGGTTACTACAGTTGAGGCTGTCACACTTACAAACATGGTTGGCCCATACTGGAATGCACTGGGTATGCCTGGCACCCCAGCATAGTAAGGTAACCCAGTGTAGCTGTACCCCGGTGGCAGGGTTGGGTTGAGGAAGGGCTGCTGAGTCGTATGGTGAGTCTGTGTCTGGTTCTGCTGTGGCTGGGCTAGAGTGGTAGCAGGAGCAGGGGAGGTAGAATCCCCACGGCCAAATTTTGTTACATCACCTACAAAGGAAAGAACTGAAGAAAAGTGATCAAAGCTTCTCTACAAGGATCCTCTGAGAACAAATAAACAGCTAAAAAAAAAAAAAAAGCATATCCTATACTTGAAAGGCTGCAGGAACTCTGTACCATGGCTAATCCACTGATAAAACAGAGACACTAGTACTTATCTATCTCAAGTACATTATTTATTACTATCAGATTATTGCAATAACATATGCTAAAAAGCAGAACTATGGTAAATAGCCAAAGTGCAAAACGGTTGTTGGGTTAAAGTGTAACTCTCCTGGAGGTTAAACTGATTAGCCAAGCATCATGGGCTGAGAGCAAGTTAGGATTTACAGGCAGTGATGGGCATATTTTTATCAATGTTTATTTTTTGAAGCACGACCAGTTGGATGTCCAATTCCTCACACCAAAGTTCTGGAGACATTAGCTGAAGGCCAGTAAAACAACACTTGCATTGTGTATCACCTTACTGAAGAAGTAGGAAAATAAATTTAGCTATTGACCTAAAATCAGCCTCCCAAGAGAAGTGACTATGAAGCAGAAAAGTCCAGAACACTTGCATTTACTGACAGCATACAGAGCAGCATGTTCATGCATTTGTTTTTGTTCTGTTTCTGTAAGGAAGTGACATATCACATCTATCTCATTCCTAACCAGTATTCTTCTTTGTTGGTTGCCAAGAAACATGACAACATTTAATAGCGGCATTATAGGAATTATACCACCTAATACCTATGGCTACAGTTTTAAGCTATAATCAGATGGCAATTAAAGAAAACCACTTTCTGAATATGCTGTATGGCATTAATCTCATCTTTGCACACTGAAAACTGAAGAACAAGAGAAGAGCAAGAGTGAGGAAGGGCTTCTTAGACCATATGCTTTTGAGAATTAAGTCAATTAGACTTGAGGAGGGCAGGGGTGAGCCTGTTAGAGGCAGCTCCTGGTAGGAACATACAAGTGCTAAAATAGCAATAACCAAGCGTGGGGAGCTGCTGAGGGAGCTCTGAAAGGGTCTATTCCATTGCCAAAAAAAAGGAAAGAAAGCCAGCTTCAAGGAAAAGACTGATTAAACAATTGGGTATTTTCCAAGCACTTGTATGTGCTTGGGAAGGGCACAAGATGACCTTGCCATTTACATTTTTAACAATTTTGCACTTTTTCATCAGAAGACTACCCAGTTTTATCCCAGAAGAGGTCATGTATGAATTACCAACCAAAACCATGAAGAAAAAATAATGTCAAAGTTGAGAAGGAGATGCTTGCTTTTATTTGCCTATTTTGGATTGGTGAGTTTAATTGCTTATAGAAGGAAAAGTGATTGTTCTTTCAGTAACAAAAGGATTACCTGCATCTAGAAACAAACACATCTCATTTATCATCCTTGCCTTTAAATAGCACTCACCTGAGTATGGGTTGTTAGCAAGGCTCCCATCTCTGCCTGTCAAGGTTGCAGGAGTGGGGAATGTAATTCCATAGTAATCCTTGAAGAGACATTACTTATTAATAGTTGAAACCATAACAGTGTCTTAGTTTCAGCTGAGACAGAGTTGTTTTTCTTCATAGTGTCCAATACGATGCTATGTTTTGGTTTTAGGAGAAAAACAATGTTGATAACTCACCAATGTTTCTAGTTGTTGCTAAGCAGTGTTGTACAGAGCCAAGGCCATTCCAGTTTCTCAGCTCCTACCAGCGAGTGGCTGCAGGAGCCCAAGGGATGGAACAGAATCAGGACAGCTGACTTAAACTGGCTAAAGGGATGGTCCATATCATATGACATCATGTGGAAGGAAAGTTTTGAAGGGAGTGGGAGTTCATTTCTCTCTCTTCTGCTGCTCGGGGGCTAGCTGGGCATCAGTTGGTGGGTGGCGAACAATTGCTTGTGCATCAATTGTTATATACATAATACATATGCATATATATATTTGTCTTAACTATTATCTTTTTCTTTTCCCACTTCCTTTTCTCTATCTTAGTAAATAGTTTTATCTCAACCCACGAGTTCTACTTTGTTTTTTTCAATTCTCTCCCCCATCCCACTGGGAGGGGGAGGGGAAGTGAGAAAACGAGGGTGTGGTGCTTAGCCACCTGCCAGGTTAAACCACAACACAGCTGAACAATTCTTACAAACCCTGTCTTATAAACATAAGAATTTTAAAAGCTAGAAATAAGGGAAGCTATAAGATGAGCTTCTGCCAAGGCTTACAACATAGCTAGAGACTTACCTCAATTTCAAACTAAATCTATTTTATAGACACTTAATATCATCTACAAATACTTCATCTCTTAATGGTAATTTTATGAGCCAGGATAAAGCTTCTGCTGTAATCTGCCAAAGCACCTAGAGGAAAGGAAGTTTAGGACCTGAGAAGCAAGAACAATATTAATTAACACAAAAAAAAACAACAAACATCGAAACACACACATGCTCAGTCTAAGAGGTGGCTGCTGACAAAGAATCAAGAGCAGCTTCTCAACACCTCATGGTCTTGATAACCATGAGTACTCCCACCTCTTGCTAGCTGAAAAGCCCTGGCAGCTTTGACTGTAAAGGCATAGAGGAGAGAAACATTATGAGCTGAGCATCCATCTCTGCTTAAAGGCAACAACTAAAAGCTCTTCTCTCCCAACCTTCAGCTCATCTTCCAGCAGGAGAGCGCCTGGAAGAGCAAAAGACCATGCGAGATGCCAAAGACTCAGGGGTACGGCCAGAGTGCAACATGAATGTAGGGCTTATACCATGCCTTGTTCTCTAAAAGATAAAAAATCACCTAGAAAAAAAGTACAAACTTAAAATAAAACTGGAACAAAAACCTGATGACTGAAAAAAGTATTTAAACTATATCTTACAGGAAACTGTAGGTCAGGGGTCTTTAAAGTGGAGTGTCCAAGATAATCCATTGGGGTACATGAAGAAAATGTTCTTTGGTTCCATTAATAAAAGTAAAAAAATATTAAGAGTGTGGGTGTTCAGACATTTTTAAATAAGGGTGCACAATCAAAAAAGGGGGAGATCACTGCCTTAGATCATTCTTCTAGGTTCTATACAGAAAGGTAGGACAGTCTTTACCTTGGGGTAGGCTTGCACTCTGAGATGACAAAGCACACCAGCAAAAGAAAAACAGAATTTTGTTTTCAGTTGAAGAGTTTGCCCTTCCCTCTCTGGGTAAACTCTGCCTGGAGGCTGGTATTCTGATATAGGTTGGTTTGTTTAGCAATAGGGATCAGTATATTTGTTTAAGGACCAATATATTAGTTTAGCAAAAGGAATCAATGAATGCTAGTTCTAAAACATTCAATTTCAACTTTGCTTTTGCTTAGTGTGCAAACAGCCTTGTTTACCTCAAGTATTCTGCCTCACAAGAAGCACTGGAGTCTTAATAGACTACTTATCCTTGCATTTCACCAGGTATAAGGACATTTTCCTTGAATTTTCAAAGATATTGTTTTGGAATTTGCTCATTATGGCCTAACAAGCAATGGAAATTTGCCAAAAATTGGGGAAAATCAGCTGAAGGTCAGCCAAAAGTTCCAGTGATAAAGCTGATGGTGGAAAAATAGGGATAAAGTAAGGAAGTGGGTATATGACCACTCTAAATGCAACTGCACATGCCCAGAGGGACATTAGCATATATTAATGTGTTCTTGGAAAAGAATGAATATGTATGCCAATGTACTGCATATGTGCAGTGGAATTCCTTTGTCACAGCCTGAACCAATACGTGAGCACATGAGTGCCTGGAGCAGGGGGGTGGCTAGAGTCACCCTTTCTGTCTCAGCGATACTTCTGGGAACGTGTGTGTGGTCTGAGTCTGTGTGGGTTTCCCCTCCCTCGCCCTTCTTCTGTGGTGCGAGAGTACAAATGGAAGAAGGCTGCATTCCTCAGCTCTCCCCTTTCTCCAAACTGTTGCTGGGAGGGGTGAGTTAATTCCTGTGATATCTTTTCCTATAGCACCTATATCTCAAATAAAGGCTCTGTCATTGCCTTTGTTTTCTCTACAATATGTATGTATTAACTGTTTAAATGTAGAACCTGAACTCTGAGAGGACGCGCTTGTTTGTCAAGTTGCCTGGTGCGCATCGTGAGGAATAAAGGGATGCCGATGCCACTTTCTAACACCACATTGGAGTTAGAGAGTTTTCTTCCTGGATTTCAGATGACAATTCTATGTAGTGGTTTTCCTTCTAATGTTCACTTACTCTTCACCATTTCTAATCCTTCCAGAGTTAAGGCTTTAACCACTCCTGTACTCATTTCCACACATTATCCAACACTGGAAAAGCATCCTCATTCACATCCACCTCTTCAAATGTCCCACCACATCAAATGCTTTCTCAGTTAACTGGACCTTCTACCTCGCCTTATTTCTGCATGTCACTGCTGTTTCCTACACTCCTCCATCACTGAACATGAAATAACATGAAAAAGACTTATGATAGCAAATACTGGCTATAACTTTAAATTGTGCAGTATTTCATCAGCCATTTTTTTTCCAGGTAATTCGATTTTATCAACTCCAGTGTAAGTCACTGTCATGGTTCGGCCTGGTTCAGACTAGTGTCCATGACAAGGGGGTGAAATGACCCACAAATCTACGCCCCAAGAAGTGTAGGGGGCTGAGAGGGGGGGAAGGAAAAGGTAGGGAGAAGGTCCTAGATGAGGAAAACAATGGCAACGAGCTAAGGGAAAATACTTAATTTGCTAAATATAATAGCAGAATGTGAGAAAATACAGTATAATAAAGTATAATTGGAATTGAAGCTAATAAATAAAAACAAAAAAAGAGAGAGTTTCCGAAATTGAAGTCCTTACACTAATGCTGTAGGTGAAGCAGAGAGCAAAGAGAAAAGAGAGCTGTTTGTTTTGCCTGGCCTATTGGAAGATCCATCTTTTGTGAGGTTGCTACAAGTGGAAGAGCAACAGGTACCAATTGCTACAAAAACGGTGCACAGACGGCAGTATTGCAACAACAGGGATTCCTTGCTCACCATTCAGAAGTTGATTTGTCAACTAGATCCACAGATCCATGCCCCAGAAAGGGAAAAGGGAAACAGGGAAAGGGTAGAGAGATGGGCCCAAAAACAATAGCAGCAACGATCTGAGGCAGTCAAGGTGCTAGAAGGAGCTGTGTTTCAGTGCTGATTACTTTGGAGGCAGCCCGAACCCCCTCATACGCGGCTAAGATCTCCTTTTCAGTTGGAGTGTATGTCATGGTTTTGTGATTTTTGGTTTTCAGTATTCCACATCATAACATCACGTAGTGCACTGGGAGTTAATGCTCCAATTCTGGGTACCTGTTCCTGTGCGTCGCAGAAGTCATGGGATCTGGCCCTTCCTGGTTGGGCAGTCTCATACTGCCTTGCAGTGGGTGCTGGAGGGTGCTTTTCAGGTTTGATCGGTCTCGGGAACTCTCTCTCTCTCTCTCCTATTTTATTTGATTTGTCTCAATTTCAATTAGATTGTATTATATTGTGTTATCTTGCATTCCGATATCATAGTTAGTAAAATAAGTTTTTCTCCTTCCTTGAGCCCAGCTCCCAACTCCCTACCCCTTTTCCCTTGCCCTTCCCGGGGGGGGGGGCAGGGGCATAGATTAATCTATTTAACTCCATGACAGTCTTCGGAGCCCCCATACACTCCAGGATGTTCTTTACATCCTGTCCCGTCCATACTGGCCTCAGGGCCATGGCATGGGCTATCTCTTGTTTAAAAAAAAAAATTATTATTCTTCTGCGTCATCTGATAAAGGGGGCTTACAATGAGGCTGTAGTTTGGAACATGCATTCTCCAAAAACCCAGAAAAGATTGTGTTTCATTCTTATTAGCGGGCGGAGACATCAAAGTGATTTTGTTGATCAGATCTCTTGGGATGTGACAACGTCCATCTTGCCACTTTATACCTAGGAACTGAATTTCTTGTGCAGGTCCTTTCACTTTGCTTATGGCGAAACCAGCATGCAGAAGGATCTGGATTATTTGCTCTGCTTTCTTGAAAACTTCCCTTTTTGTATCGCCCCACACAAAAATGTCATCAGTGTACTGCAGGTGCTTGGGAGCACCACCCTGTTCCAATGCAGTCTGCATCAATCCATGGCAAATGGTCGGCCTGTGTTTCCACCCCTGGGGCAAATGATTCCAGGTATACTGAATGCCCCTCCAGGTGAAAGCAAACTGTTGCCTACATTCTGTGGCCAAAGGAATGGAAAATAAAGCATTAGCAATGTCAGTGGTGGCATACCATTTGGCTGCTTTTGACTCCAGTTCTTACTGGAGTCCTAACACATCCAGCACAGCAGCACTCAGTGTGGGTGTGACTTCATTCAGGCCACGGTAGTCCACTGTCAGCCTCCATTCTCCACTGGCTTTATGCACTGGCCATATGGGGCTGTTAAAAGGTCTTGCTGATCACTCCCTAACTCTCTAGTTGACAAATCAACTTCTGAATGGGGAGCAAGGAATCCCTGTTGGTGCGGTACTGCCGTC